ATTGAACTCAGGCCTTTGTGCTTGCCAGGGAAGCGCTTATTCCACTGAGCCATCTCCCCGGCCCCTGCATTCTTCTTCTAAAAAAAAAAAAAAAAGCCCAGGGCCAGGGAGATGGCTCAGTAGAATAAGCACTTGCCTGGAAAGCACAAGGGACTGAGTTCAATCCCCAGTTCCACCAAAAAAAAAAAAAAAAGCCCAACTTATGCTTTAAATGTGGAACAAATTCATTCATAATGCATTAAGAAAACATGAGGTTTTAATGTACCACACATAACATGCAAGATAAATGTTATTCCTAAAGTCCATTGTAGGCTTTATAAAATTACCAGTAGTTTCAAGAAGTCCTATTTGTACATAAGACTAGACATTTATATATACAGTTTAGAATAACTTGCAAGGAAAAAAAAAAGTGCTAGGGAAAGGAATGTAACAGTACGTGAGAACATTGGCATGATTCCATTGAAGCTATTTGTCAAAGAAGAGACAGCATATTCAGTTTCATTTATGTTAAAATGTACTCCAGGTGTACCTCAACTTGACTGCCTTTCACCGTTACCAGCAAGACAAGCAGTCTATTAACTGGCACTAGGTGCCTCAGTTGAACAAGGAGAATAGTTCACATGTAGTGCATATTAACTGTAATCATCCATGCTCTCTTCATGTATTAATTCATTTGATCTTTGCAGCAAACCTGGAGGTCTATGTAGTGTTAGCTCCATTTCACAGAATAAGAAACTGAAAAAAGTACAATAATCTATCTTGGTTTTTTGTTGTTGTTGTTGTTGTTGTTGTTTTCTTCTTTTTCTTTCTGGAACAAAATACCCAACACCCAAATTAAGAAAGAAAATGTTTATTTCGCTCGCAGTTTGTGGTGGTTTCAGTCCATAATCAGATGGCTCCAAGGCGGGGTGGCACATGGCACAGGGACAACAGTTCAAGGTGGCACAAGACAGCAAAAGCAACAAGAGCAAAAGGGGGCGAAGCAAGCCTCTTTCTCATGTTGTAGGCCGGCTATGCCCCCCAAGGCGGGGTTAGCACTCACAGCACCTCCACACACTTCTCCAGCAGAGGATGAGGACATTTAAAGTAAGAATCCTGTCTGGCTGCTGAGTCTTAGTGAATCTTTTAAACTGCTGAAGTTGACACGGTATATCAACCATTGCACCTACCTAATTGACAGAACTGCCTACAAGGTCTTCGAACCTATGAAACCCATTCAAGGACATTTCAGTTCACATTTCTATTCCACTTGTGACTGTGAACAGTTTGAGAGCAAATATCACATCTCTTTGTGTTGGTTCTTCCAAAATTGTAACACAGGGCCGGCCAGATAGTTCAGTGGATTAAAGCACCTGCTTAGGCAGATACAGGGACTGGGGGTTTGATCCTCAGTGTGCTGTGCAGGCCCTACCCCCATGGCACGCCAAGACTGTGACAGCCTGGGTGTGGTGGTGCACATGTAATCCTAGCACTTGGGAGGCTGAAAATAGGAGAATCAATATAAGTCTGATCCACATAGTGAGACCGTATGTGGTGTGGATGAACGTTTGTTGATTTGCATAAAATTGAGAAAAATATATTGACGATTTTAAATTAAAACTTTTCTTAATTCTTTTCTCTCGTAGATAATTTTGCTCATCGAACTGCAGTCCGAAAAGCGTTAGCCAAAGATAAAGAATGGCAAGAACAGTTCCTTATTCCAAATTTGGCTCACATTGATAAACAAGAGAGTGAGATTACTTACCTGGTCCCATGGTGCAAGATAGAAAGGCCTGCAAAGGAAGGTAGGTCTTCCTTTGTTTTGATGAGTATGCTGCTAAGGATCTCAAGCAATAAAAATCAGAACATTGTATTTCTAGGAAAACCAAAAATCTTTCTTTGTTTTACATAGCAACCTTCTATAATTGTTGATATAAAAGTAAATCAGAGCTCTGAGCTTATCCTCAAAATATAAGAATGAATTCATGGAGAATCTTCCCATATTGAGATTTTACAGATTGGTAAACTTAGCTATGGTACAGAAAAAGTCTTACCTGGTGAGGACAGCTTGAGAAATTAGCTTTGAGATCAGATACCATGTGTGAGCAAGTAATAGCAATGTATGAAATTCATAATTTTAAAATACTAGGATCATTTGCACATAAAGGGTTTTTTTTGGGTGTTTTTTTGTGGAACCGGGGATTGAACTCAGGCCCTTGCGCTTGCCAGGCAAGCGCTTATTCTACTGAGCTATCTCCCCGGCCCCAATTTACATATAAGGTTGCCCAAAACTTATTAATCTTAAATCATTAAATACATCTTTGCTTATAAACTGACTGGTGGGAATGAATTATCTGAAGTTACTAAGCTATATTAATGTAACCCTACTTTTGTATCTTTCTCTGCCTTGTTTTTCTATTTGAAAATTTCTGATTTAAACTATTACCTTAATTCACTTTTAAAGCAAAAATCATGTTAAAAACTGTAAATCAATGTAAATTCTATTTTCCCTATTATTCTCAGTTTTGTAGCATGTTTTACATTACAGGAAATTTGAAGTCTTATAGAGCACCTAATCCTCCTATCTCAGCATTATAAAAAAATATTTGCCTTCCTAGGCAATGAATGTCAAGTCCTGGTTCTCTATATTGTTTGTAATTCTTTACTAAATTTATATATTTCTCTCACTTTTTTTGTGTGATCCACTTACACCTTAGTGTCTATCTCCATTCACCCTGTTCTTAAGATTAGCAGTAAGAAGCTTTACAAGTGTCAACTTGGATATTTAGAAATAATAAAGCTGTCTTTGTTTTTTTGTCTCAAAACCTCAGGTACAACTTCCAGTCAGCTGTTAAAAGTGGAATTCTGTAGGGCAAAGTTTCACAAAGAATAAAATATCCCCTCTCAAAATTCAAAAGAAGAAAATGTAGATCAGGAGATACTTCTTATAATTTCTGTCCCATAGACTTGAACAGTTCAAAGATACCATCACATAATAAATTCTTAGTTGTATCAGCAAAGTTTAAAGGTTTAAAATACTTGATATTGGCCAAGGAGATGGCTTAGTAGAATAAGCACTTGCCTGGCAAGCACAAGGACCTGAGTTCAATCCCTGGTTCTCAAAAAAAAAAAAAAAAAAAAAAAAAAAAAAAAAACTTGAGATAGTACCTTATGTATAAATTCCAGTCCTTTTTCCTTTCCTTCTCTTTGATTAAGCTTCACAAGTGATCCATAAATGTACAGGAACTTTCTAAACATAAAAGCAAGAAAAATTAATGTGAACAATTAATGAACACGGCTGCATAATATATTATATGGATGATCCTTCTTATCTGTACAGAAAGGTTAATCTCATACCCTGGAATCAAAAACCTGATTAAAATTTACTTTATTATGTTTCATGAAATAATTATTCTTCTCTCTGCTCTAGGAGTCTATGAGCTGGCCACGTTTCAGATGAAACCTGGTGGTCCAGCTCTGTGGGGCGATGCATTTAAAAGGGCAGTTCATGCCCATGTCGATCAAGGCTACACAAAACTGGTTGGTGTTTTCCACACAGAATATGGAGCACTCAACAGAGGTATAATTGTCTGCTTCCTCTAACTTTATGTGTATTAGTAATTTTATGTTTTCTAGGTCTGTTTTCTTTTTTCATTATGCTGTATAATTTTTATTGCCAGTTCTTTTGTTTTTTGTCATTTCAGGATTTGAAATTTCAAGATTTAAACTTAGGGGGGTTTTAGAGTGTTAATACCTTATGGAGCCTATTTAAAATGCCAAACTACTTTTTTCAGAAAATTTAAAAATTGGAAGGATCCTTAAGAAAATATTTTTTCAACATTTTTTCTCTAAGTGTTATTTTCTAGATTTTTCTCAAAGTAACATTACTTTGAGTAGAAATACAGTTTCTGAGTAGAAAATATAATGTATATTTTTACAAATGCTGCAGAGACACCCAAAGAAAAAAATTATCCATTTCCCATTACTGCAAGGTAATATTGTCATATGTATAAAAATGACATGGGAATATGAAGACTGAAACATTAATAGATATTTTTGAAAGGCTAGAAAGAATGCATAGGTAACAAGAACTTCCTCACGTTCTATCATGGGTGCATAGACACATTTCATAGGTAGACAGGTTGGCATAATGTAGTAAAATGTATTTGGGTCATTAATTCTGAAAGTTGAAAACAATGGCAGTAAGAATTTCAGAGAGGCTTTTGTGGTAAACTCTGAAAAGTGTACATAAAATTCATCTAAAAAATTAATGATTAGAAATAGCTCGTGAGATATTTGAAAGATTGAGTGTATCCAGTTGTATTTTCAACATCCCTAATAGAATGCTCAGTAGAGATCTTTGATGAAAAATGGAATCTTATTGCTTTAATTTGTTATCTTCTAGAGAGCTCTAGCCTAACCCGGTCAAAGTCTAGCTCTTGATCTTTACCCAGTAGTTTAACCTTTGATGATATGTCCAAAGAAAATAATCAGAGTATATAGGGAAAAAAAAATTTATTTCTAATTTGAAAATATATGAAGAAGCAAAAACTTACAGAAATTGTTAGATGTCTTTTTCATACTATGTGTGAAAATTAAAGTGGGTTATAAACTCAATGTAAAAAGTTATAAAATTATTAAGAAAAAAATAAATTTATGTAGTAATATGGATAAACGACAAGTATATTTTAAGTTAAAAAGTAAACAAAGGAACTGTGGAAAGCATAAAGTATCAATATGATACTTTCATCATACCAAGGTTCATACTTTCTCCATGTCCCAGATCACTATAAATGAAATTTAAAAGCAAAGAGAAATTTTATACAAAAGTAGATATGTAGATAGCTACAAAGTATATTTTAAAGAAGATGCTAGTTAAAATAATAAGATAAAGTTTTTCATCAAATCAGACCTATAGTTACAGTGTTAGGTGGGTCAGGGAAAAATTAAATGTGCATTCATTGTGTATACTTTATAATGGTAGTTTTTCTTGCAAAAATTTGCCAATATAAATAAAAAGATATTTTTTATGTTAAAGAGAATAAAAAATAAAAACATTAAAAACAGTACAGAATTGCAGAACAAGATAGTAGGAGATCAACAATGGTTGTTACATTGTATTTGTTATCTTCAGAAGTAACTTTTCAGAGTGCCAGATATAAGCATGCAAAATTGGTCAAAAGCTTTTTTAAAAAATTAAACATTAGTTGTTCCTTTCAATAAACCAATAGAAATTAGTAGTATAATTATCTTAGCTATCTTGTGTATATGTATGTATATTTTTCCCCTTCTTTCTTTCTTTTCTCCTTTCTCTCATCCCAGTTGTTCTTTCCTTTTGAGCAGTTTCTTTCTCTTTCACAATAAAAATGATATATTTTCTGTTGTCTTTGTATTACTTTGAGAGGAATATGCATGGATGTGTGGATGTGTGAATTTATTTGTTTATTCAGGAATAAAATTTGAAAGGCTATAAAATGTGTTTATCATAGTCACATTTGGATTATAAAATTAAAGGTAATTTTTAAGTCTCTGAATTTCCTACACTGGACATATGTAACTTTTATAAGAAAAAAAGATACTGAAAATGTGTGTTTATAAATTTCTTAAATGATAATACACAGGATATAACTTGATACATCATTACTGGAGGAAAGTGTATAAGATATATACTATGTAAAACTATCTGTACTCTTCAATTCTCTCAATTTAAATTTTCTATCAAGAAAATAGATTTAGATTGCCTGGGTTTGAATCCCAGTTCCGTAACTTAACATTATGGCTTTAGCTGGATTACTTTAAAGTCAGCTTTGCTTTAGTTTCTTTGCCCATAAAGTTATGGTAATAGCAGTCTACCACCTAGGTTATTAGGAGCACCACATTAGTTAATCCATAAAAAATGCTTAAAACCAGGCCTAGAACATGGTAACTATCCAGTAAGTAGTAGTAGTCATGGTCATGGGCATTACCTAGGCATCCATGCAAGTGCTGCTTCAGTAAGGCTTATGTGGGCTTTGTCCACCATAAGGAAACCCTGAAGGCAGCATGCTGTGACCCTCATCTTATAACAAAGAAGCTCATGATGCAGAAGTAGAAATGTGTGTGCACTCTACACACCCTGTAGCTTTGGGGCATAAAGCATGCATGCTGTGTGACTATAAATACATAAACGTAAAGTAAGTATGTGTGTGTCGATTTTGAGGTGATACACCAAAATAAAAAGTGACCCTTTGGGGATAATAAGAATAGATATGTTTCTTACTTTCTTCTTGTATTTTCTACATTCTTTACAGTTGCCAGCTAGTTGCAAAACCACATAACTATGTTTAAGAATGTCTGTTTCGCTATTTTATAGGATACTGCAGTATTGATGGTAATCTAAATGATTAACAATAAGGAGTTGAGAAAATAAGGAGTTCTGTAGATAAGGAGAAATTCTCAGAACCATTGAATAAAATTAATGTCACATAGTGTCCCATTTAGATGTACCATTATTTGTTTTAAATGTGTTAATCAAAATTAATTTAATTTAAAAAAATATTTACATACTGCATTCTCATTCATAAGTGTAATATATGACTAATTTGATTTGCTCATTTCTTAAAATAGAAATACATATTAGCAGAGTTTACCTTGGCAATTAAAGTGGTAGATACTGTTTTATTTTCTATTTTGTACCTAAATTTTCTATAGTAAGTAATTTTTTTATGATCTGCTTGTTTTAAAGAAAATATAATAGGAATGTGTGAGACATGGGTCTAGTCTTAACTGTAATTGATTTGTTTGTTTATTTTTTGAGACAAGAGTCTCACTTTGTAGCCAAGTTGGCCTCAAACTTGCGACAATCCTCCTACCTCAGCCTCCCAAGTGCTGAGATTATAGGGAAGTACCACCGTGCTCTGATTTAATTATGTTTTTTAACCATTACTTTATTTTCCCTCTTTAGCCTTCTGTTTTCAGTTTGCTTACTTGTTGTATAAATTTTTATCTTAAAACTCTGACTCCTATGAAATCCTGTATATTTAAAACTGATGTTTGTTTTGCTTTGTTTTGTTTTTTATTTTGGTACTAGGGATTGAACTCAGGACCTTGTGCTTGCCAGGCAGGTGCTTAACCCACTAACTTTATGTTGTTTTTTTGTTTTGTTATGTTTTGTTTTGTTTTTATTAAAAACTAATCTTTGGCAAGTGCAAGGGACTAAGTTCAATCCCAGGTTCCACCAAAAAAAAAAAAAAAAAAAAAAAAAAAAACTGATGTTAGAAAACTATTACTTCAAAACTAATACAAAGCTAACATGGCTGATTTCCGCAGTCCATGCTCTTTGGTGGAATGAGACTGCTGACAGTCGTGCAGCTGGGCGACACCGGTCTCATGAGGATCCCAGAGTTGTGGCGGCTGGTAAGCCTTTCCACTAGGCACGGATTATTTTTAGAACAAACTTGAATCAGTCATCAATAACTTTATATATCCTCTTATGAAATGTCTTTCCAGTTCGGGAAAGTGTCAACTATCTAGAGTCGCAGCAGAATACGCTCCTGATTCCAACATCATTTTCACCATTGAAGTAGTTGGTGCTGAAAATACTAAGACTTTCATTATTAGTGTATTACGTATCTGCTAATGGTACTTAAATTCTCCCAAGGAAATTATTCTCACTTTTATTTGAAGGACGTGGTAAGTTAATGCACTATATACCTTTCAATTTTTAAAGCTACCTCTCTAATTTGTCACCACCAATTCAGGAAACAGTTCTGTTCATTTTTTCTGTGGCAGTTTTGTATCAACTGTACATTAGAAATAGTTGTTACTGTCACTACTTAATGATCTTGATTTTTCATTCATTTCTCAATATCTTCTGTATTTGGGGTTTTTGTTTGTTTGTTTGTTTTGTTTTGTTTTGTTTTTTGTGGAACTGGGCATTGAACTCGGGTCCTTGCGCTTGCCAGGGAAGCGCTTATTCCACTGAGCCATCTCCCCGGCCTCTATCTTCTGTATTTGGATAGCCCTTTGCCATATAGCATTTTCTTGAAGTCACATAATGATTTTATATTTCCTTGCCTTACCATATGTATTTTTAAATTACATACACTATTTTTTCATTATCTTTTTCTGAGATTTAAAGATATTTTTCCTGGTAATATTTACTTTGTAATGTCAGATGGAGTTACAAATAATTGATCAAGTGTATTTCTTTACTTTGGGAAAGTACAGATCATGTCTGTCATCTGTGTCAATCATGGTTTTCAAGTGATTAGGCCATTCTGAGTTGGAAAATAATGTAATTATGTCACAGCATTAAAAATCTAGAAAAGAATTATTGGCTTATATGCTGAAATATGTGCATTATAGCAATTTTATTAATTTTGACTTCACCTTGGGTCCCTCACAAGAATCTAGGACATTTATTTGTTTTTGAGAGATCTTTATAATTATGAAATGTTTGCCATAATAAAAGCCTGCATATCCATTCTGATTGTTTAAATATGTGTTTTATATTTATACCTTTGTCTCTGAAGGTTTTGCCTTGTTGCCAGAGGGTAGGGATGTAGTAATAACCTACCCTCTTTATTATTACATCATGAAAATAGCACGCTGGTGTTATAGATCGCTAAGTTAGATAGAAATATCTAGGCAGTTGGGTGGGAGCAGGCACTCAAGGGAGTCAGTGAAGGGGATGAGAATACATTACAGCCGTGGCTGAAAGTGCCTCTGATGGGGGCCTGGCCTGAGGTTAAAGATGGAATGACCAGGCCTGCAGGCTTCCTCAATCCTCAATAAATTGAAGATTATACTGGAGTTGGTATCACCTGGCTCAATAAAGTCTAGCTAGGTATCAGTCACCCAGGTGGGTGCCAAGGACCTGATCCATCCCTTCCTAAAATGGCCTTTGTTCTTTCCATGCACACTTGCTGTGTGACCTGCTTCCCCATTAGATCGACAGTGCCCAAGGGGCTATACTTTAATCTTATTGGTTGCTTACAGTTTTGATTAACACTGTACCCACCTCGTGATTTTGTTCTGTCAAACTTCCTCTGTGAAGTGGGGTCTATGGCATCCCACTTTTGGTCTCCTCCTGTCTCTTAGGAGCTATTTCTCAATAAATTTTTCCTATTCTAAACTTCTGTTGTTCCTTGGAATTCATTCTTTAGTTTTGGGAAACACGAACTCTGACACCTAGGAGGGCGGGAATTACAGATTTGTGTGAAATTTGGGGACTTGATACACACTTGATACTAAATATACACATAAATTATCAATTAAAAAATTAAAAATTCAAAGTTAACTTGAAAATGTAACAGGATATGTTAGCTTTTTGCTTCAGAATACTGTTGTAGAACTGTGAGCAGTGATTGTCTTTTCCATACTATAATAAAGCATTGGGTGAGAAGAAAGTTTGCACTTTGGTCTTTTTAATGGATTCCTACAGAGTTATCTCAAGGGTCTCCCTGGTTTGAGCTAAAATAGGATCACTTGGGTTAAGCTGTGTACCTATTCACTACACTTAGCTCCAACTGAATTTTTACTTCTAAAACTTAAGGTAACAGATTTGCTTTCCAACAAGTCTATTTTGAAGATGAAAGTAGTTTATATATACACCTTCCTATCATAGTAGTAGTGTGCTTTTGCCCTTCATTTATTCTTCAGTCTCTTGTATGACTTAACAGCTGCTCCCCATTTTCATTCTTAGTTGATAGAATAAAAATAATCAGAAGACCACATCCAAGTTTACACCTCCATGTCACTTTCTGAAGCCAAGTTCATGTGCTCTGTTGTAACTGGATCCATGGCTCTTGGGTCCTTGTCTTGGGACAAGGAAGATTGAAGCCAATACAACAGCAAGCAGCACGCCAAAAACCAAGCAGCAGGGAATGGTCAAATGCATGTTTATTAGGATAAAAAAGAGGCTCTGCTGGTCAGGAGTATTCTGTAAGGCTGACCCTGAACGTTTAGGTCCCTTGTCTTTGTGTAGTTTTTGGCGCTAAGTGACAGAGTAGGGCTGCTCCTGGTTGCCTCTGATATCTGGAAAGCACTCTTCCAAGTCTCCCATTTGGAGACTTCTCCCATTTGTCTCTCACTTTCTGAGGCCCTGATAGCCAGTTTTAGTATGCTAATTTACTTAGGCCCTGACTTACTTAGGGCCTGTGTTCTGTCCAACTTCCATTATCTCCTTTCTCCTCCTGTTCTAAATGACAGTCTGTCCTGCTCTGGGCAAGGACAGCATCTCTAATGTATATGCGTTGCCCAGAGCTGTGCCTCTAGCACTCTTCCTATCTCCTGGAGCTACATGTTTTCCCCTCAGCTGAGTCTTCTCTTCAGCAACAGATATACTATTATTTTCTCATATTTTAAAAAAAGTAAAAACCTACCTCATTTTTTCCCTTTGTATGACTCAAGTGAGGTACCTATCAAATGAGGTGCCTCCTACCTCCACTTATCCCTTCCAATTCTCTTCTAAACATTCTCTGAACTCCACAGACTTGCTCCTGTGGGACTCACTTCCTAGTGCTAACTGTACTTCTAAGCAGGCACAAATACAGTGCTACGTAGCCTTCTTTTCTCATGAGCATCTTCCGGTCTCCACCTTGTCCTTTGAACCTCTGAGGTAATATTCCTGTTCTGTTTTTACTCCTCCTCTGTATCATTTCCTAAGGCATGGCTGCAAATAGCATCTGTATGTTGTCAGCCCCTGCAATTCACACCTCTTCCCTGAATTCCAGCCTTATGTCAGCGATGACTTGGTAGGCACTTGGTAAGTTTCTGTTGATTGAATTAACATGTAAGATGAGCTGTTATTTAGACATAGCTTGAGGGAATGCTCTGAAGATTAATGTCCTGGAAGCTTGGTCCCCACTTCGTGCTCCTGTTGTGGTGGCACTGTTAAGATGTGGAGCCTAAGGGAAAGTAGTTAGGCCACTGGGGGCACCATCGTCACAAGGGTTTAGTATACTTTTCTATACATCCGTCTAGTTCCAGCAATCTTACTGGTTTCTGTTGTCTGTTATAGGTCAGTGCCGAAAGAAACAAGAAGACCTGATGAATATAGCTTCAGAGGTCTCACTGAGATTAGTCTCTCTCGAAGTTGAGTCCAGAGCCTCAGAAGCATCTTGCATTTATTGAGGGCTAAAGGCAGGCTAAGGAATGTGCATAGTTAAGTGAATACAAACTACTCTCTATCCACTTCCACCATTTGCCTAACACTAGGTCCACACGAATGCTAGCTGATAACCTCGCAAGCAAGGGACCAAAGAATAGAGTGCCTCCAGGAGAAGCTGTTATCTGCAGCCTTGAATCCCAGCTTTCCAGGATTTACAAGTGAGACAGCAGCTCTCCTTGGGCTGTCTATTGTTCCCTGCTCTCTTGGGACTTTAGGCTTTTGTCTCATATCTTATATTTCTATAGGTTTCTTTGTGAAAGAATTGTGGTCCCCTAACTCTCTGTGGCTTCTTGTTTTTGCATTTGGTTTCTTCCCTTCACACACACTCTCAGAATAGTGTCCTCTGCCATGAGCCTTTAGCCAAAGGCTGAAACAATGGAGTCTCCGATCTTGGACTTTCAGCCTCTAAAACTGTGAGCTACATATACCCATATTAGTCATATTTTCATTCCTGGGACGAAATAGCTGGCATCCACAATTTAAGAGAGGAATTTTTTTTTTTTTTTTGCTTACAGCTTCAGAGGTTTCAATCCATGGTGGTTGGCTTGGGAGCAGAGACATAATGATAGAAGGAAGTGGTAGAGGAAAGCTGCTTATTCATGGCATCCAGGAAATAGCAGGAGGGAGAGGAAGGGTGAGGGCGGAGATGCTGTCCCCAAGGTCACACCTCCATGACCATCCACTTTCTCTGACTAGGCCCCAAGACCTAATAGCCCCTTCAGCTATGAACTCATTGAAGTGTTGACCTGCTGATGAAGTGAGTGTGCCCACAATCCAGTCACCTTTCCAGGAGTCTTAATCCATTCAAGTTGACAATCAAGATTAACTGGCACCATACTTTGTTATATATAACCCAGCCACCAGTATTTTGTTATAGTGACAGCAGACTGATAAGAGATTTTTCAAATAATAGCCCATTATTCCTCCAAGCCTTCTAGCATCCTCCATCAACGGTAGATTACATGACTATTGTTAAAACGTGCTCACCATCCTGTAGGCAGATGAGGAAAGGTTACAGCCATTGGCTTCCAGTTTGTGGCCTGAAGTAGACCAATGGCTGCGTTAAAAAGGCAGTAGGAATTGCAGTCTTGGAGTTTACAGAAGATAAGAATGCAGAAATTAACTACACACAGAGAAGTTTTAACTCTTTAAGTCTTGGTATTAATAGAACAGTCTTAACACAGGACAAAAAAAGTGGGAATGTTATCGATCCTGAGGTCTGAAAGAAAAGCTCCATCAATGGTAGATTACATGACTATTGTTAAGACGTGCTCACCATCCTGTTTTGATTGCACAGTGAATAATCAGTGGAAGTTACTGCTTTGAGTGCCATCAATAAATCAAAGCAATATTATTGCCTGTTGGTTATAAATTGCTGTCTTGGACTATGAAAGAATTCACATTGTACCTCCAGGAAGAGAAACAGCTACGTGACC